CCCCAAAACCCCAAAACCCCAAAACCCCAAAACCCCAAAACCCCTTTTTATTAAATAAATAATAGGCATATCTAATATGATTAGAGGAAGCAATACGAAGCCCCATTCTGCTCCAAGCGCCTTGCCACTTTGAAGCAAATTTATGAAAATGACTAGTGTAAGTCATCCAAATGAGGAATCTAAAAACCAGTCTTCCTCAAGTGGGTTGAAGGATAATAGACACGAACTGACAATCTCCAGTCTAGACACCACCCAGATGCTGTACATTGACGACTTCTTTTTCATGCTTGGCAACTCCTGTAATGCTAGCGATCAGAGCGAGTATTTATTCATGGTCAAAGGAAGTGAGATCAAGGACCATTTTAAGTTACATACAAAGACACTTGCAATAAAGAAGATCAATATTAAGGAAGAGAAACTGATCGTCTCCCTGGGATATGACACCATCCCTGAGGAAGGCAAGACAGGCGATATAGATGTAGTTGGCGCTGCTGGTCGAAGAAGATGCATCAAGGTGTGGAGCTACAGCAGCCTTATAATGGGAGAGTATAACGATTATGTCCAAGCTGGTATAACAGGCGGCTTTGAACCCTCTATGTCTAGTCCAAGGATCATTGAGCTGGAGGATAATGTTGATTCTCCTCCAATGGACTTTTTGGATGTCTCTGCTTGTGGCCAGTATATTGGAGTCGTATCAAGCAGGGAAAGAATTACTATTCATAAAGCATACCCTAATTTCAGCATTCCTCCAGATAAGGCTATTAAGAGCAGAGAAATTGAAGTGACACTGAGAAAAAGCAGTTCTCAAATTCTAAGTTGTCATTTCTATAGAGATAGAATCTCCAACATCAACTATGTTTACATTGTTGCCTCTGATATGATCTATCTGATTGATACTGAAAAGAAAGTGTCTGAAACCATGGAACTGACTATGAATGAAGTGGAGGTCATTCCCAGTTGAGCATACTGAGACAATATTTCTGGAAACTTGATAGTATCCCAGTCATACCACAATGACCCTAATGTTCCTCCAGTTGGAGAAGCTATCTACAACCTTGACACCCCTCCAACTCTGAAATTTTTATCTGAAGGGCCAAGAGTCTTTACAAAATTGTACGGAAAGTTGATGGTAGTTGTGACTGAGAAAGAGAACAAGAGCAAAAAGCACTATCTGGAGATTTACGATGCAGGTATTCAGATCTTGTATTATTCCAACTCATATCATACTATTCATGAGATCATCATTGAGAGTAGTACAATTTACCTGTTCGTCACTCATGATGAGAAGAATGGCATCGCTGAGAAGGAGCTTATCAAATTGACAGAAATCACTGTTGGAGAGAAAATCAAAATTTTATTGGAAAAGAGTCTCTTTGAGCAAGCTAGTCAAGTCGCTATCAACGCCGAGTGCTCTGAGGAGATCAAGGCAGCCGTGGCTAGAGAACAAGGGGACCATTTTTACTTAAACAGGAAGTACAAGGAAGCAATGGAGCAATACATCAAAACCATTGGATATGAAGCCCCGAGTTATGTAATCGAGAAGTTCCTGGAAGTTCAAAACTTAGACCTTCTGATAGAGTATCTTGAGAAGTTGATCGAAACTCCTATTACAAAGAACAATACTTTATTAGGGAATAACAAGGATTATACAGCTTTGCTTCTGAACTGCTACCTCAAGCAGGAGAAAAAGAGCAAGATTGAAGAACAAATGATCAAGGATAGAGGCTCAGACTCTATTTTCGATGTTGAAACAGCTATTGATGTCTGTAGACAAAAACAAGGATACTCCGATCTTGCCATCAAGCTTGCCAATAGATATGAGAAATGGGAGCTCTTAGTGAGCATCTATATTGAAGATTCTAACCAAAACATTACTGGAGCTCTTGAGATCATCGATGAGAAGATCAAGGATGTCAAGGACAAGCTAAATTTATTGAAGCAATATGGAGGCGTCATCCTAAATAGGAGCAGCGGATTCATCCATTCTGAGAAGAAAATGTCCAATTTATTACTCAAAATTACAAAATATTTGATCATGAAGAAGAAAAATCCTGGGTTCAAGAGCCCAGAGTACCAGAATTATAGCATGAGGGATGATAAGGACGATATTAAGATATCTGAAATTATCAAAATCTTCGTTGACAACAATGATTCCTTATGTGAATACCTAAAGAAAGTCCTTGATGAGCATGGAGATGATGCCAACAAAATTTGTGGAGATGACCTTCATCTATACCACAAGCTCTTGGAATGCTATCTGAACAAATACTCTGAGAAGAGATCTACAAATGTGCATTCAACGATCAGCAAAATAGATAATGACATAAAGGACTTTGTCAAGATCAATGAGTCGAAGATAGACAAGAGTTATGTCCTCTATCTGTTCAGATTCTATAGCTATCTGGATGGAATCCAGAAGCTATCCCAACAACTGAATATGAACCAGGAGCTACTCTCTGTGTTCATTGAGAAGAAGGAATATGACAACATCGTTAGACTTTGTAAGGAGAAAGGAGGTCAAGAGAAGGATCTCTGGATTCAAGCCCTCAATCACTTCAGAGAGGAAGGAGAGAATTTTAAATTACAGGAATGACTTGAGTATATCAGCGAAAAGGAGGTACTGACCCCTCTGATGGTGCTTGATATTCTTAAAAATACTGACTCTGATCTCAAGTTTAAATATATTAGGAACTATATGTTTGGAGAGATCAAGAAATTAGACTCTAAAATTAAGAACAGTAAGGAAGAAATTGAAGCCAATATGCAAGGTATTGCTGAGAAAAAGAAAGAGTATCAGGTACTGACAACCACTCCTCAGCAATTTGAGCAATCAACCTGTTCAAAATGTGGTGATAGACTAACTGTCCCAACCTACCACTTTATGTGTGGCCATGTGTACCATGAGAGCTGAGTTGAAGAAGATAAAGAAACCTATAAAAGAGTCTGATTATTATGCAATAAGCAATTCACTGAAGCTATTGATAGGAAAAATTTGTTCGAAGGAAAGGCCAGAGACCATCAACAATTCTTCACTGAGTTGGAAGGTGATGACAAGAAGATGGACACTATAGCGACCTATTACGGAATTGGCTTGTTCAATGACATCCAGAAAGAACTAGAGGAAAATGAGTTATAAATAATTGATGGATAGTAACCAGGCACCAATAACGATTGTTCCCAGTTTTCAATAGGATTACTAAAGAGGGGTTTTGGGGTTTTGGGGTTTTGGGGTTTTGGGGTTTTGGGG